GAGCAAATAAACATTATTTAGCAAAAGAAGGCAGACACAAAAGAATGCATTTTGTATGATTTTATTTACATAAAGTTCAAAAAACACTCAAAATTACCCTGTGATGTTAACAGTCAGTATAGTAGTTCCTGTGGTTTTGGGAAAGGAGGTTGTGCCTGAAAGGGGCATGGGGGTGGGCTTCTGGGGTGCTGGTAGTGTTTTCCTGTTTCTGGATCTAAATGCTGATTACATGGAAGGTTCACTTTGTAAAAACTCATTCAGCTATGTACTTATTTGTTTATGTATGTTATACTTTAATATTTTATAAATAAATTATGAAATCAAAAAAACAGCTGTAATACAGGGTGGAGTTAAAGTAGGTTTACAGTTCATATGGGAAATAATACAGTAATTAATAAACAGTACAAGAAGAAACTTTTTCATACTTATAACTGTAAACGTACTTTTGCCCCACCCTATATAGTAGTTTTATATGGCTGACCTGTGATAAATTTTTGTGGGGGGTAGGAGGACAGTGGAATAGAGAAGGTGCAAGAACATTATAGTGGAAAAAATTACTGTGATTTTGTAAATGTCATTAATAAAGACTTTTAATTTAATGATCTCACTTGGATTGGTAGCAAGGGAAGAATCAGACTAGAGGCAGCATTTTGTAGTTGTTTTTTATTTAATATTGATTATGCTATTACGTGTCTCCCATTACTCCCCTCCATCCCCCTCCACCCCTCTCCACCCTGCACACCCTCCCCCACCCACATTCCCCTCCTCTAGTTCATGTCCATGTGTCATAAGTTCTTTAGCTTCTACATTTCCCATACTATTCTTGCCCTCCCCCTGTCTGTTTTCTACCTACCATCTATGCTACTTATTCTCTGTACCTTTTTCCCCTCTATTCTCCTCCCACTCCCCTGTTGCTAACCCTCCATGTGTTCTCCATGTCTGTGGTTCTGTTCCTGTTCTAGTTGTTTGCTTTGTTTATTTTTGTTTTAGGTGTGGTTGTTAATAATGGTGAGTTTGCTGTCATTTTACTATACATGTTTTTTATCTTTTTCTTAGATAAGTCCCTTTAACATTTCATATAATAAGAGCTTGCTGATGATGAACTCCTTTAACTTGACCTTATCTGAGAAGCACTTTATCTGCCCTTCCATTTTAAATGAAAGCTTTGCTGGATAGAGCAATCTTGGATGTAGGTACTTGCCTTTCATGAGTTGGAATACTTCTTTCCAGTCCCTTCTTGCCTGCAAGGTCTATTTTGAGAAATCAGCTGACAGTCTGACGGGAACTCCTTTGTAGGTTACTGTCTCCTGTTCTCTTGCTGCTTCTAGGATTCTCTCCTTCATTTTTACCTTGGCTAATGTAATTCTGATGTGCCTTGGTGTATTCCTCCTTGGGTCCAACTTCTTTGGGGCTCTCTGAGCTTCCTGGACTTCCTAGAGGTCTATTTCCTTTGCCAGATTGGGGAAGTTCTCCTTTATTATTTGTTCAAATAAGTTTTCCACTTGGTGCTCTTCCTCTTCTTCTGGTACCCCTATAATTCGGATGTTGGAACGTTTACAGATGTCCTGGAGGTTCCTAAGCCTCTCCTCATTTTTTGAATTCTTATTTCTTCATTCTTTTCTGTGTGGTTGTTTCTTTGATCCTTCTGGTCCACTCCATTGATGTGAGACCCAGCTTTCTTTCCATCACTGTTGGTTCCCTGTGTATTTTCTTCATTTCACTTATTGTAGCCTTCATTTTTTCATCTAATTTGCGACCAAAATCAACCAATTCTGTGAGCATCCTGATCACCAGTGTTTTGAACTGTGCATCTGATAGGTTGGCTATCTCTCGGTTGCTTAAAAGGATGGGTTCTCGGGCTTTCATTTGCTCTTCTGTTTGAGCCATCTCTTTTTTTTTTTTTTGTCTTGTCTCACCTGTTAGGTATGAGGGGCAGAGCCTTAGGTGTTCACCAGGGCGGGGCAACCTAGTCACTGGGTTGTGATACTGTACATGAGGACAGGATCTGAGAGGGAACAGTGGTGCTTGCTCTGTTCTCTGCTGATTTCAGTCCCTTCCGCCACTTCCCCCGAGCACACTGAACCTTTCTGGTGCTGATTCCCGTGTGGGTGGGCTTGTGCACCCCATGGGTCCTTCCACAACCTCTCCTGTGAGGCTGGGAGTCTCTCCCTGTGCCTCAACCCCCACAGGTGATTTCAATCAGTGTCCCGAGGCTCTGTTTCCCAGCGCTGGATCCTGGGTTGTGTGCAGTGCCTTGCTTCACAATCGTCGCCTCGCTGGGTTTGCCGGTTGCCACCCCTCGGCTGAGGTTTGCCAGCTGCCACTTGCATGCCTAGGGTCTGCCCGCTGCGGTCTTACGCGCCCAGTCCCAACAGTCTTCGTGCTGCGTGACCCCTCTCCACCTGGCTTCCCGGCTCCGCCTCTCCTACGAGTCTGGATGAACGTGTTTATTTTAACTCTTGGTTGTCCGACTTCCATACAATTCAATTTTCTGTCAGTTCTGGTTGTTATTCTGTTTCTAAATTGTTGTTGTCCCTATCTTGGTTGTGTGAGGAGGCACAGTGTGTCTACCTATGCCTCCATCTTTGCTGGAAATGTGTGTAGTTCTTATGAGCACAGACTGAAGCCTTATTCATAATTTGATTCAGAGTCTGGTTTTGTAACTTATTAGCTGTAGGATCTTGAGTGAATAAATTACTTAATTCCTTGAATTATTTAACTTCTCTGTACCTTAGCTTCCTCATCTATAAAATGGGGATAATAGTACCAATCTCATAAGTTAATATGCGTAAGTTAATATATATAAAGCACTTAGGACAGTGCCTGGCACATGATATACAATGTGTTTACTTAATAAAAAATTTTAAGTACTGTTTTAAAACATTTTGAAATTTGTTTTGATCTTTTCAAAGAGTTCTTATATTACTGCTGTTCTCACACATTGGATTATTACTATTTGCATATCAGCCTTCTTTATTACACTAATCTAGGGGAGGATACTTTTATGTCTTTTATTTCTAGCACTTATTGCTATTTAATATTTCACCACCTCTCAGAAGTATTTCTAAAACTGAAAAGTCGATCTCTAAGCACTTGAGTTTTCAGCATCTATCTTCTCATATAAAATTTAGGATTTCTTGTATAAGTGAAATAATGTTGATGTTTGATATAAACTATTTAAATAGGGATTGAGATGAAAGAGGTAGGAGACAAAAACAGAGTAGCAAATCTAGTTTTTTTTCACAGTATACCCACTGTATAGTCCTCTGTTGTGCATTTTAAATGTTACCACTCATGTAAAGTCTAAGAACCTTGCAAATCCACAGGGTTTTTTTTTTCTATTCCTTGTTCTTATTGTGATTGTCACATTATAACCTCCATAATACAATTATTTTGTATTATAATTTTTAAAGGTTATATAAATTTACCCACATACTTACTTTTTCTGGCATTATGTATTCCATCTTGGAAGATATGAGTTTACATTTCATGTTATATTTTTCTTCAGTCTATAGAAATTTCTTTAGCATGTCTTGTAGGTCTTCTGGCACTGGATTCTCAAGTTCTCTTAGTTCTCATTTGAAATTGTCTTTATTTCTCTTTGATTTTGAAGGATATTTTCACCAGATATAGATTTCTAGGTTGACATTTTTTTCCTTTCAGCACTTTAAAAATGTTGTTCAGTTGCTTCCTGACCTTATTGTTTTTGATGAGAAGTCATTCATAATATTTATTGTTATCACATTGTATGTAAGGTATAATTTTTCTGTAGATACTTCAAAGATTTTCTTTCTCCTTCTCTAATTGCAATTTGACTATGTTGTACCTAGTGTGAGTTTCTTTGCATTTATCCTCTTCAAGTTTTCTGGCCTTAAATTTCTAAATTTTTGTCTTTCAATTATATTTGGAAACTTCCAGCCATTGCTTTTTCAAATACTTCTTTCCTCTCCTTGTTAGGACTTCATTTATTTGTATGGTAGTCTTTTGTTACTGTTTCTTAGGTCCTTGAAGATCTCTATATTTTTAAAAAAATTTTTTCTTTTCTTCAGATTGTATATGTATTGTTGCTCTATTAGTTAAGACATCTCTAATCTGCTCTTAAGTTCCTTCAGTGAATTTTTATTTCAGAGTTTTAATTATGGAATTTCTGTTCTTTTTATAGTTTCTGTTACTCACTGGGAATATATTTCTACTTTTGTCCTTTAGCATAATTGTGGCTGCTTTAGAATCTTTGTGTTCTGTCTTTGGTATCTTGAATCAACTTGGGGCCATTCTCTCAGTTATGGATCACACTTTATTTCTTCATGTCTAGTAATTTTGGAGTGTATCTTGGACATTGTTAATGGTATGTTGTACAGACTCTGGATTCTGGATTCTGTTACATTCTTCTGAAGAGGCTCTCTCTTTTTTTTTTTTTCCATCAAGCAATTAACTTGACTGATCTCAAACTCCCAATTTCCCTCTGTGGTGGTGAGCAGCTAAGTTTTCTGTTCAGTTCTTTTAAGCTTAGTGGGGTTGCTTAGCATCTGCTCAATAAATGTGTAATTCAAGGTCAGGCAAACATTTGGGCAGAGTTTATATATGTCTCTTTCTGACTCTCCTTTTCCGTGATTTTCCTGTACTTCCTAGGTTCTCTGCTCACTTCAGATACTGCCCTCTGGTTCTTCAAGCCAGGAAGACTGTGGGTTTTCTGCACTTTTGTTTCTTTTTGTGGGACCAGCTGGAGCTTTCCCTAAAGCCAAAGCCTGTTTAAAGAGAGAAACAAAAAAGAAACTCATGTAGTACAGTTTCCTTCTGCCAAGCACACTCCCTTTTGCCTGCTTTTGGTTTATGGCCTGGAGATAGTTGGATTTTATTTGTTTTGTTTTTGTCTAGAGTTTATGATTGTATAGGAAAGGGTCGGTTTTTTATAAACTGTTTGACCATTACTGAAGTAAATTTAGGATTGAAATTTAAATGAGGATACCTTATTCTAATGTTTTACTTTTTTTGTACCTTAGGTACCTTCTTAGTGGCATGGCTTTACCAAGTTTTAGAGAATGGGTCCAGAATACCCTTGGAGTAAATGTGGAGCATAAAACTACCTCTAAAGTAAGCAGATAATAATGATTACCAATATGCTTAACCCTGTGTGTGTGTTTGATTCCAAATTAATTAGACTGATCTATGTAATTTGTCATAGTTGCTTTAATGCATTTGTCATGTTTTTTTTTGTTGTTGTTATGGAGTCTACTATTTTCTTGACCTTCTTAAGTAAGGTATAGTTTCACTTTTCTGAGAGTAGGATTAGAAAATTGTTAAACTGTATACATATCAGACTAATGAAATGTTAGTATTTCCTTATATTATTATGATTTTTATTATTTATTATTATTTGCTGTGGCATGGTATTCTGCATGTCCCTCTGACTGGATATAAGTTCCACAAGTGCAGAGGCTACGGTTAACACTATATTCTTCATTATATCTACCATATTATTAAGGACTGTAGGTATTCAGTGAGGACTTACTTTATTCATAAATCCATTGATACATTTTATTCTAGTAATTAAATGAAGCTAAACAACTAATTCCTTCCTTTCCCAAAACAAATTCTTTTAACTTTTCTTAAAAGATCTCTTTTTTCATCTCCTTAATTCTCTCTCTTATTTATAATTACATTTTTTTACATTGATGCAATCTACATACTGCATTCAGACATTTCACCAGTTTTATTTACATACGTTTTTTCCCCTGCTTTGAGCCCTTTTCAGTTTTCTGGTATTTAACAAAATAGTAATCTGTATGTTTTGTTGGGGTTCTATTGGTTATTTCCTTTCACTGTAGGATAGATTCCATGAGGTTAGGATGTTTTTTTCTTGTTTAATTCACTGCTGTCTTCCCAGGTAGGGCCTAGAACAGTGCCTGGCTTATACCATCCACTCAATAAATATTTATTACATAAATATACTCATATAATAATCCCACTGAGGATTGGTTCCGGGACCCCTGTGAAGACCAAAATTGTGGATTCTCAGGACCCTCCTATAAAATGCTGTGATATTTGCACATAGCCTATTTTTGCATATAATCTATAGCAGTGCATGCCCACATATTACTTCATTTGCATGGATTCAGCATAGTGCTTGTCACATGGCAAATTCAAATTTTGCTTTTTGGAACTTTCAGGGATTTTTTAAAAAAACTTATTTGATACAGATACAGAGGCCAACTATGTAATTAAAAATTAAATACAGATCCTTAATAAGATACTAAAAAGCTATATAAATATCATATATTTTTATACATATTTAAAAAATATATTTTATTAATTTTTAGAGAGAGGGAGAAAGAGGGAGAAAAACATCAATGTGTGGTTGCCTCTCATGAACCCCCAGCTGGGCACCTGGCCCTCAACTGAGGCATGTGCCCTGACTGGGAATCGAACCAGCGACCTTTTGGTATGCAGGCCAGCACTCAAATCACTGAGCCACATCAGCCAGGGCTTTTTACATATTTTTATATTTTCTTTTTTTGAAATACTATATCATGATATTTTTTTAATAGCCGATTTGACTTGGGCAGCCATTTATAGATCTCCTTCTATATGCTAGATGATGTTAAGTGCTTTTCACAAAAGTAATCACCTTTAACCTTTTGTCCTAATGACAGCTGTATAAATTTGGTAGTGATAAGCTCATTTAACAGATCCAGAAGCCAAAGTTCACAGAGGTTGGGTGATTTCCCCAAGGTCACGTAGGTTTAAAATTAAAGATTAATGTTTCAAGTTACTTGTTAGTTGAAATTAAGTATCAAGTTTATAATTATATTGTGAGTTTTAAAGCAATTATATAAAATGGCTTTATTACTTATATTGTGAGTCTTTTTGCTGTTCATTTTAAAATAACAATTGGGATATAGGAAATGTTACATATTATCTATAGATTAAAATGTAGATAATGCAAAAGTCATACAGCTTTCCCCTTGTCTCCTTAATCTGAAATTGAAAATTGAGTTTACAGTCATCCTTGCTGTTGATCGCAATTCTTAGAAATAAGAAAAAGGTGGGCCATGGAAGCAAATGAAGAAACATAAGGCTTCTGTAACTCATGTTACAGAGTGTCATTAACCAGACCATTTGTTATTGTTACAAAGTTGGTTTCCATACATATTATTTGGTATTTTTCTATGCTTCTGACTGAGTTTGTATAGTAAAACCTTTTATAGTTTATAGTCACTCTCCCTAATAGAGGTATTCAAAATTTGTTTTCTAGAGATAAGCCAAAGAAACCAATTTTATTTTCTAGGCATCCTTAAATCCTAGTGATACACCTCCTTCTATTGTAAATGAAGATTTTCTTCGTGAGCTTAAAGAAACTACTATTTCATATTCACAAGAAGCAGATGATCGAGTATTTAGAGCTCATGGTAAGCAATTTTATATAAGTGCTATTTATTTTTAATTTTTATTTTTATTACTGTAATTTAAGATGTTTTTGCATTTTCTTTTTAAAATCATGAAACAGGTCATTGTCTTCATGAGATATTTTTGCTCAGGGAAGGAATTTTTCATCGCATTCCTGATATAGTTATATGGCCAAGTAAGTTCTTTTTCTTGTATTCTTAATTTAGCATTGTTAAATTTTAAGTAAATTTAGTATTTGAAATATGTAATTTTTAACATATGAGTTAAAAAATACATAGGTAGCTGTATTTTTAGAGGTTGCTGAAGGTCATGAAGTTCTTTCTTACGCTGATCATCCTGAACTGTTGGTTTTAATGATTGATTTTGTTGATGATGAGTCTTTATTTTAAATAAATAAATAAATACCATATTAGTTCAGTAGAAAAATGTATTTTTGGTTAATTTCATAGTTTAATGAAATTTGTATCAATAATGACATACTCAGATCATTAATTTAAAAAATTAAGTTCTTGCCCTAACTGATGTGGCTCAGTGGATTGAGTGCCAGCCTGTGAACCTACTGGGGCACATGTCTGGGTTGCAGGCCAGGTCCCCAGTAAGGGGCATGTGAGAGGCAACCACACATTGATGTTTCTCTCCGTCTCTTGCTTCCCTTCCCCTCTCTCTAAAAACAAATAAAGTCTTTTTTTAAAAATCCAGGTTTTAGAAACATATGGAGTTAGTCAGTTGTTGCACCAAGATTTCTTTATGCTGCAAAATACTTTTCTCACAGCTTTGCCCTTCCATTTATTTTTCCATCCCAATTTCCAATTTAGGGCCTTATCAGTGCATATCTGGAATTTTGCAGTAATCTTAAAAGTTCTCATGCTTCAAGTGCCTTGTCCTTTCAAGCTTTCATACTCTCTTGAAAAGTTAAGTTTTCAAAAATATTCCCTTTGCCATTTTGTCCCATACCTCATGAATCTATCTGAAAAGTGTATTGGTGCCTGAATCAAGTTTATAATTTTAATTTCATTCTGTTGAATTTTCCATTATGATGACTTCTTGGAAATAGTTTGTCTCCTAACAGGTTATCAATTCACTGAGGCCTTTATTTAATTTTAATGTAAATTTCCTATTGTTGATTAAGTTCAAGTTTTTCTTTGCACGAAGTCAGGTTCTGACACAATGTGATATTCCATGGAATGAAGGTGGCTATCTCATCTTGCAGTTTGAATATGTATATTACTGCATGTAATACATATATATTCACATATCTGGGAAATCTGTCATTTTGGATATCTTTAAGTTAGGCTATAATCTGAATCCGATTTCTACATGTTGCTTTAATAGGATGTCTAGGGCTCGTCAAAGAGTAAGAACTTGTAGTATATGTAACTCGTCTGATTTAGGGTATTCTTTACAGCAGTGTTTGTCATCATTCTGACTTTTACACAGTGCGGATAGCTCCCTTTTATTTAGTTTGGACAAGTAGTTAGTGACTCATATGGTATAGCTTGTCTGGTAAGTATGTGTGTAAAAAATAAAGGATTTTTAAAAACAGTAATGCTAAAAAATAACTTACTACATTTAGTATTTATATATTATTTTCAGTGATCTAAATACCAAAACTTTAGGTCTATGAAAATATGTGCTAGGTACTGTTCCAGGTATTGAGAATAAGCAGTGAACAAAACAAAAATCCCTGTTTTCAGGTGCCATACAATATAATTGGAGGGGAGGGGACAGAACAATAAACAAATATATAACGTATTAAGTAGCGATAAGTGGTATGATGAGAAATAAGACAGTGAGAACATAGAGAGCAAAATAAGGTGGGTAGAGGATGCAGGAGTGCTTTGTCGGGTAACGTGGTCGGGGATAGCTTCTGATCAGGTGACCATTCTAGACATAATTTTGCCTTGTTAAAGGTTTTTAACAGACATCTTCAGGTATTTTATTAATTGGTAATGAACAATTAATATTTAGTAAAAATTTTACCACAAACAGTAAGGTTTGTGAGCTTAGTCTAAAAACTTGAAAATGAATTTTTATTTAAAATTGGAATGATACAAACAACATATGTATATTCCTAGCTTTAAGCAAATTTGAGATGTGACATTTAAGGCTTTTATATTCATAAATGGACATTCTTTTGCATATTTTCTTTGCATCCTTATTTTCTTTTCAGGCCCTTAGCAAGTAATCCTTGATTTTTACATTATTTTCTTAACTCAAGTCTCTTTCTCCTTCATGCTTTTCTATAGTCTATAAGAAGATTGATCTTTCTGAAATACTCGTTTTACCCCTCCTTAAAGCCCTATGGCTAGTCACATTGAGTCTTAGCATCTCTTGCTTGGTGTTTAGAGTCTTCTCCAGTCAGGTTCTTATTTATAACTTTTACAAAAATAAAGGTACCTTTCAGTTATGTACAGTAGAAAGGAAATTCATGTCATATAGTATACATATATTTTAAAATTTGTTTAAGAACAATAAAGAATCCTTAACAGATGCAAAAATTAGTGCAAGTATGATGAAAAACATGATTCTTATATAGTTGAAGTATCCCCCCCATAAGATGCATATTAATGATAATAATTTTAGATTGGAGAAACCTAGCAGGCACCACATAACCAAATGATGGAAAGTTAGCATTACCAGAAATGACACTTGTTTACCTCATATACCTCCAGACGTAACACACTGAGAAAGGCACCTTACTTCTGTGGAATTCCTGCCAAATTCTGTGGAATTCCTGCCGAAATGTATAACCTGAATTTAATAATGAGAAAACATCATACAAACCCAAATTGAGGGACTTCTACAAAGTAACTGATCAATGCTCTTCAAAAGTATCCAGGTCATGAAAATTAAAGGTAGACCGAGGAACTGTCTCAGATTAAAGAAGATTAGGGAGATGTGACAAATGCAGAATGTGATCCCAGTCCAGAAAAGAGGATATTAGAGAAACAGTTGGCCACATTTGAATAAGGTCTGCAGATCAGTTAGTAGTATTCTGTCAGTGCCAGTTGTTTGATTGTAGTAATTGAATTACAGTTACTTAAAATGTTAGTATTTGCAGCTGCTGGGTGAAGGGAATTTTCTTGTACCATTTTTTGCAACTATTTTGTAAATATGAATTATTTAAAAATGAAGTTAAAAAAATAAAGAACAATTTGTTTTAATATAGCTATTTCATGTGTTAATGAATGAGTAAATAAAGGCAAAATTTACTTTATAAACTCATGTTTTGCAGGGTTACCCAGATTTTATTTGTGTTTCTGTGATTAACTTATTTTCTCTTTTTTCAACAGCATGTCATGATGATGTAGTTAAGATTGTGAATCTAGCTTGCAAATATAACCTTTGTATCATACCAATTGGGGGTAGGTATTGTGCCTTTTGAATTTTAACATGTTGTAAATTTGTTCTTTTAATGTAAAATATGTGTATTTTAAGTATTTGTGCCATCCTCCTGAAAACAGATATTTTTGTAATTGTAATAAGGTTATTTTGAAAAATTGGTCAGTGCTTCTCCTCATTTCTGTTCTGGGTAGCTCTGCCTAAGATGCGATGTACTCTTAGTTCATGGCTTTGGTCCCTGTGGATCCTTGTTGAAGCTGTGACTGTAATGCCTAAAGGAGAATATATTTCTGCTTTAGTAATTACTTTCTGACCTTTATCCTTACAGAGAGAGTAGTTTTCAAAGGTTAAATATCCCCAACATAAACCTTTGAGAAGGAATGCCATGCAGCCTAAAAGATCAACAGGGACGCTAGTGACTAAATTAATATCTTGTAATACTGAGAACCAATATTGTTTTGCATTTTAAGACAAATTTGATCTTTCTTGATCTTTCATCAACCACATTATTTTAACAACTTACACAAGCCAAAGGAAATTGCCTTCCCTGACTGAATTGGAAGTAGTGGAATGCACGTGGGACCCCAACAAATCAGAAGCTTCAGATTCCTTCTTCAGCTGATGCTTCCTGTTGAATTCATACGACAAAGGCACTACAGTATTACTTTTAATGAAATATTTTTCTGATTTCAAGTGACTGGCAAGCAAAGAGCGGTCATTGAGCACATGCATGTTTTTAACTGACAATTCATGGTCTCACCTTATAAAATTAAGCTGACCTCATAGATCAACACCCCCTATAATTCTTAACCTTAAATCAAGGTGACTTCTACATGTTTTCTGTCTAAGACACAAGGAAGTACCAATTTAGAATTTATTCTGATTTGTGTTGATACAGATATGGATAAGAACTAAGAACACTGTTTTGTATTGGTTTCAAGAATTATTTTTCCTTTGACAACAGATATTAGTGGAAAACAGAAGTACATTGTTTAAATACTATGTGTTATTTATTTTATATTAAAATCACTTTTTTGCCAAAGAACATACAAATTTGCTTTGGAGTATCATGTAACCTGGGCAGTTTTAACTTAGTATTCTAATTAAAGCCTTTGTGTTTGGGCATGTAAGATACTATTTTCAGTGATAAGTGAATCTCACAATTACGGCAGAAGGAAAGCAGTGGTGTTTCTAGTTTAATTGGGTAGGGTTTGTATTTTTTACATTAGCTTAGAACTTTTCTAATCATGTTTTTGGAGTTTCACAAATGCTAGGAGCTCCACTTGATTGTGCCCGGAGGTGGAGCCACATCCCATTGCTTTCAGCTTCGTGGTAGTTTTTCATTTTGGCACACAGCATACAACCAAGCTGAGTTTGCTTTTAGTGTGTCAGCATGTACACGTTACATTTTGCAAAGTAGATGATATAGATGTTACTTCCATAGCAGGCCCATTTGTATACTTTATGACAGGGGTTTGCCCTATATATTGCTAAAAATAAAACATTTAAACATAAAGTTGTTGCTTTTTATTTGACAGGAGGAACAAGTGTCTCCTATGGCCTGATGTGTCCTGCAGATGAAACAAGAACGATCATTTCTTTGGACACTTCACAAATGGTATATGATTACTAAGATGTGTTCAGAGATAGATAGCGTTTGGTTTAAACAGTGTAGTTATGGCTCAGTCTTAGTTGTCATTAAAAAGGAGTACATTGTCCATTTTGTTTTAAATTACTTTTATGGGTATATGTTACCCTTGTGTTTAGGTCTCTAAAAGCTAAGCTCACTCTTACTGTAAGGCACATACCATACCTTAATGGATTCTACCAAATTGGCATGTGAAATTGATGATTTGAAAAGCATGGGTTAGAATATTGGTACAGTACATGAACTGATTTGTTAAAGAAAACAAATAATATTAGTTAAGGTTAAGTTGAATCACCCAAACTTACCTGCCCCCCACATTTTTACTAATGCTGTTGCATTTTTCTTGTAGAAGAGTAGAGGAGCTAACTAATTTTAATGATAGGGTTATTTTTTGAAGTTTTGGCTCATTGTGCTCCAAGAGTTGGACACTGTGGCATGTTCTCTGGAATCCAGAAGAAGATTCCGTGTGTTACATGATTGCTCTGCCAGATAGAAGGGGGGCAGAGTCTGCTCTTCACAGTAGACAGTAATTTGCCAAGATACATATAAATTAGGTCAAATAAGAATGGTAAAAACATTTTTTTGACAGGCATATATTTGGTAAGTTGAGCCAGATGATAGTTTCTTTTTTTCAGCAGGAGGCAAGGATGTGCTTTGTTTTCTAGCTGCGGTCTCTGGTTCTGCTTTGGATTAAAAATAAAGTAGGGATGCCATTTATATTCAAATGTTTTTACAGGTATCCTTTTCTAATCTCATGGTGGTCATTTTCTGATATTCTTAAATTAGATATGATTGCTAACTTAACAGTAAATAATACTAACAAAATGATAGGAACTATGTATGCTAAGCTTTTTATATATGTAGTATCTCATTTAATTTTTACAGCAACACTGTGAGTAGGTATTGCTATCCACACTTTGCAAATAAGGAAATACTAAGCTGAGACAGTTAAATAAGTAGCCTAAGATAAGAGGTAGAGTTTAATTCAAATAATATCTGAATAAAGACAGTCTGTGTTTTAAACCAATTCCTGTGTAATGCGCTACCTATATCACATTGTCTGTCATGTTGTGTATTTAGGGATAAGTGGTGCTTTCTGGTGGGGGTAATCCTGCTTGCCTAATTACTCTCTTGTCACTTGCTGCTTTGAGTTAGAAAGTTATAGTTCCTGAGGACATGTCAGTAGTTCACGGAAATGAGACTTTTTTATTCCTTTGCAACAGAATCGAATCCTCTGGGTTGATGAGCACAATCTGACAGCTCATGTAGAGGCTGGCATAACAGGACAAGAGTTGGAAAGACAGGTATGTTATTTCTTTAATTAAGGTTTTCAAAAACTGGTATGTATCCCTTCTATGAATGAAGTACCTTTCACAGTACATTCATTCACTGATGAGTTTATTCATTTTCTGTTGTGGGTTGGGCATTGAGCTAGATGCTGAGGACACAGTAATGAAGAAGACACCATCCTCTACCTGTGGATAGCTTATATTATATTATGACAGAAAGTTAGGCCAACATACAGTTACAATTCAGAGTGAGAATTTGTAGGCGAAGGCTAAATGTGAGGTGTTGTGACTCATCAAATGGGATTAGAAGGAAAGGAGTTGGACAAAGAATTTGTCAAAAAAAATGCAGCATTTAACATGAGACTTCAGGGTAAGAATTAGCAAGAAGGAGATGGGGAATGGGGAGAACAATCCAGTTAGGAGGTGACATGTACAGAGGCTTAACTGGCAACTGCTGCTTTGGGGGCTTGCAGATAGCTGAGTGTGGCTGAGCTCTAGTGTGTATATATGGAAAACACATATTCTTGGTGTCTGTATACTGGGTGGGTGTATATGTAGTAGTGGTAATGGATGAAGGCAGGAAAACACAAAGAGATGAGATCATAAAGGGCCTTATGAAGCCCCTTTTGAAAGTTCGAACACTATCTTTGTACTTGGACAGTCTGGCTACCGTGTGGAACATGAATGGGGCACGTTAAGGGTAGGTTAAGAGGATGTGGCAATTCAGGCAGCTGCTGATAGTGACCTGAAATAAAGTAGTAAGAATGGAGCAAAGTAGAACAAATTGGACATAGAATTTTCAGAAATTGGTGATAAAATTGTATCAGCTGGGTAGATGTTGATATTTGCTATTTATTGAACTTTTCAATGCATAATTTCATTGAAAATGGTCATTTCATGTAGTTAGTGAAACTCTTGAAGTCCTTATACACTTTTTGGGGGATCCTAATGAATTTTTTGAAAACTTTAGGTTCCCTTCATGGTTTCTAAGCAGGTAATTATTAAAATGTATTGATTCTTGCAGCCCCCTGAGCCCCTTCAAACATGGGTAAAATGCTGTAACTCGGCTCTTATAAATAAAAATGATGGAAAAGTCCAATTTGTTGGTGATGTTCTTACCCCTTTGTTCAATTTGGGTTACAGAGACCCCTTCCTGTTACTAACAGGACATTTAAGGAAATGTGACTTGCTGGTTGATCTTGTTTTTATTGTCTTTTTCCTTCTTTCTTGGTAAGAGATGAATGAAATTGCTATGCCAGTGAACAATTCTAGATGAAAGGCTTTGAAAAAAATTATTAAACTGTTTACTGTCTTTATTTTTTATTTAATGCAGTAAGAACAGAGAACTGGAATAAAATTGAACATATTTGTTGAGGCAGTGTTAAAGATCTTCAATAAGTCAAGGTTTTATATAAGTCAAGGCAATTAGTTTTGTTAATTATTATAGTTTATATTGAACATCAGTGGGCAGAATAATAATATTTAAGGAAGAAAAACCCTGTAAAAAGTCCTGTATTAGTCTTTAAATATGCCTGAATGAGGCATTATCAACATAGCAATATTTTAATAACAAAGGACGGCCTTTTATGCCACCAATTTTGTATCCTTTATTATGATATTTGATGTAGTATTTTAACCTTTCCAAATTTTTTAAAGGTTAGAATTAAAATTCAAGGAACATATTTCCTTGAAATTTAAATGACATTTTCTTAGACTGGCAACTTCTGGCATTTTACCTGCTAGTTCATATCTCTCTAGATGCAGATATAGAATTTTCTTTTTTTACATCCAGTAGATTATAACATAATTTCTGTATCCGTTTTGATCCCAGTTCAAGTTCTTCCTCATTAAACTGTGTCTTTCAGTTTCTACTTCAACTTAGGTAACTAGCTTAAAACATCCTGCTTTTTCCTTCTGGGAGTTTTAAAATGACACATGTATAGTAGTTGGGTAGCACAGATTTTAATCTTTTTAATTTGTAGATTACATTGATTTTAATAAACATAAAATTTAAGGGAGGTCACTAACATGTATTATGGATTTGGGGAATTTGAATTTAGGCTTATTAAATCTTTGGCTACTTCATTTTATCAGTTAATAGTTTGGGGATCTGGGACTTTTCTGCCGAGGGACGCATTTCCCTGTGCCTCAGTTTCTTTCTTTATAAAATGAAGATAATAATTCCTACTCCATAAGATTTTTTGTTAGGATGAAATAAGTTAATGACATGAAGTATTTAGAACTTTTATTGTCCCACTAGTTTTTATTGAGCACTGTCTGCTTCATTCAAGCACAGTTAACTTTAACTATTCCTTCTGTGTGCCAGAGACTCCCAAATTTATATTGTCACCTCACTCTACTTTCTTAAACTCCAGATTTGCATATCCAGTTGCCTGGTTGATGTGTCTTGACTTGTATATCTAATATGTATTTTACACAAAATGTCTTAAACAAACGCAACATTTTAAAAATTGAAATTCCCCCGGACTGGTATGGCTCAGTTGATTGAGCATTGTCCTGCAAAGCAAAAGGTTGCCAATTTGATTCCTGGTCAGGGCAGATGCCAGGGTTGCAGGTGTTGTCCCCAGTTGGAGCACGTACGAGAGGCAGCCGATTGATGTTTCTTTCTTGCATCTGTGTTTCTCTCCCTCTCTTTCTCCCTCCCTTCCCCTCTAATTAAATAAACAAATTAATAAATATTTAAATTAAAAAGAGCAGCTTTAGAAAAATAAATAAAAATTGAATTTCTCGTTTTGTCCACAGTTTGCTTATTCTGTAGCCTTCTAATTCTCAGTTGATGGAAATTCAGTACTTTGGGCAGTTTGGGCTAAAATCCTTGGAGTCATTTATTTTGTTTTGTTACTTTATAATAGTTTCATTAAGGTATAATTGTCATGCAGTAAATTGTACTCATTTAAAATGTACAACTCGAGAGGCTTCTGGTCAAGATAGTGGTGTAGGTTAATGTGGTACTGTAATCCTCCCACAACCACATCATAATTACAACCAAACTACAGAACAACCATCATTCAGAATTGCCTGAAATCAAGCAGAATGGAAGTCCTATAACTAGAGATTTAGAGAAGAAGCCACATTGAAACTGGTAGGAGTGGTGGAGACATGAAATAGGCTTGTCCCACACCCATGTGTGGTGGTTTGAAATTGGGAGGGCTATCTTAGCTGCAGAGGTCCTCCATGAGGAGCAAAGGGTCCTCACACCAGGCTTCCCAGCCCCAGGTTCCAGGGCCAGGAAGAGAAGATTCCATAATTACGAGCTGTAAAATCTAGCAGGGATTGTGGCTGAGTGAGACAGAGGGCTTCTGTAGTCCCAGGTAGTTCCTCTTAAAGAGACTGCACATGGATTTACATGGATTCACTCGCTCTGAGCTGTAGCACTGGGGTGGCAACTTGAAAGGCACCAGGAACATATGGGGAGGAACCGAAATTTCTGGCATCAGAGGGGCAGCTTTCTCCCTGAATAAAGTGCTGAGAGAAGCCACTGCTGCTTTTCTGAGACAACACCCCCACAGAGCTGGCAGGTGGGCACTACATCTGAGTCTCCATCAACCTGGCTTATACTGTTCACCTTGCTCTGGCAATTCCCTGAGATGCTACTCCACCCAAGTTATGGCCCCATGCAGGTTGCAGACCCACCCAAGCTGTTTTCAGTGGCTTTTCCATACAAGTGGCCTCTTTTGCCTCCTGCTTTGGACTTCCTTAAAATCACTCAAACAACCAGCATCTGGCCTCTGTGTACCCCACGCCTCTTGCTAAGTGGTCCTAGGACCAGCACTAGTGGCATCCAGTCTCCACTGTCCTTTCCTGGGCACCTCCAAGCCCAACACAAGGAGCAGCCATCTGCAGATTGCTCTGTAGCTTGTGCTATGTGGCCCCAGGCAGGGCACAGCTGGCTGACCTTATACCTCCTGGGAGGCCCCAGAGCCAGTGCATCTGTTGGACAGCTTCAGAACACAGCAGACTTATAGCCCTGCCATCTCCATTAGCTACCCACTCAAGGGTGGAGTCAGTGAGCAGTAAAGCCTCACTGAAGCAAGTCCTGCTTCTGAGGATTGCCTCCTGCACAGAAACTTCTCCACTGTAGTCACAACTAGTCCTTGCAGTCAGTTGGCTTTGGGGTCAGTCTCTCCCAGCTTACATCAACAGCAGTCAAGGCTCAACTACAACAGGACAGTGCACAAAGCCACATGAGGGCACACCTAGAGTGCCCAGCTCAGGTGACTGAGGAGGTTGTGCCACTGGGCCCTGTAGGACATCTGTAACACAGAGCCACTCTACCAAGTCTGGGAGATATAACAGCTCTACCTAGTACATAGAAACACACTCAGGGAAGCATTCAAAATGCAGAGACAAAGAAACAGGTTTCACATGAAAGAACAGGAGAAATCTCCAGGAAAAGACCTAAGTGAAATAGAGGCAAGGAAACTGCTAGATGGAGAATTCAAAACAGTGGTTATAAGGATGCTCAAGGATCTTAGTGAGAACTTCAACAGTATGAAAAATGACATAGCATCCATGAAAAAGAACTAGTCAGACCTGAAGGATACACTAACTGAAATGAAGAATAATTTACAAGGTAGATGAAGCTGAGAAATCAGCAATTTGGAATATAAGCAAGCAAAAACACTCAATCATAACAGCAAAAAGAAAAAAGAATCCAAAAAATGGAGATCGTGTAACTCCTTACAAGGTAAGTTGCCTCTGGGACAACTTACCAACATTTGCATGCATCATGGTGTGCCAGAAGGAGAGAGAGAGCAAGCAAAAAATTAAAAACCTATTTGAAAAAAAGAAAGAAAACTTTCCTAACCTGGTGAAAGAAGTAGACATATACAAGTCCAGGAAGCACAGAGAGTCTCAAGCAAGATGAACCCAAAGAGGCCCACACCACAACACATTATAATTAAAATGCAAAAGGTTAAAGACAGAGAGAACCTTAAAAGCAGCTGGAGAAAAGTGGTTAGTTACCTACAAGGGAGCTTCCATAAAACTGTTAA